GAGTATCCCTTGAGTTGAATATTCTGTTCGAAGGAATTTTGTATTCTTTGATCAAAAACTCCTTTTTCTCATCGGTTCCGACCGTCGCATAGATATCGCACTTATAGTGTTGGCATATATTGAGGGCCGCCTGACCCACACCTCCCGCCGCCGAGTGAATCAAAACACTCTCACCTATTAAATATAAAACGATTTGCATTTTTGCAAACTTAAGGCATCAGATAATACCTGTCCTTAACTTCGCCATTTGAATCAACCCATAATACGCTGTACTATATGTGCTTAGTATAGTTACGGCGTCGTCCATAGACCAGTGGTCAGGTATGGGACTAATGGCATGAGTCGATGCATATATAGAAGTCGCAAAACATCGGCCAATTTCAAGACCCATAACTCTATGACCCGTATCCGCACGACGGCCCGCAAACTCCAGCCCTATTGAACAGTCGGTGTATTCAGATTCAGGTCCCGATGGCATACGTCCTAATAAAATAATATTTTTAATTTAGTTAATTAATCTACTTTTAAGTATACTAAACCTGTTGCGATCATTACGTCATGAAATGAGATACCGGAGCTATAAATACTGATTTTTATCTTATTTACAAGATTTCCATTGAAATCATAGGAAGGCTCAGCCGGTGCCACGCATTTCATGTCATACCACTGAAGTGCTGATATGTCTCGGGTTTGACCCAAGTTTAGGAAATACTCGTTGGAAACTGTTTTGTCATAATTTTGTGGCAGTTTTATGTGTCTATAAGTCCCCACTTTTCCATCTTTGATAACATTTGCCACCAAATCATTGGCCAATATATGGCAAAACGGCTTACTATTGAAATCTATTTTCGTCTCACATTTGGAGTCATAATTGAAAACATATCTCCAGTCCTCTCCTCCCGGTTCTAAACGCAAACAATTCACGAAACCAATGATACCATTAATAGGTGAACCATTTGCAATGATCCAGGTATTATTTTGGGACCCTTTGGGGCGAATTGGTTTGTTCTTTAATTCATGAAACCATTGTTGATAATCACGGGTAATGTGAATGATATTGTCTTCAGATGGCATTTGGGGCTTTTGACCCAATTTTCTGAACAGTAAGCCTACGGTTCCTATTGTATCACATTTGGTACAAATTAGACGAAAACCTATATTTTGAGCAATTTTTGTAAAATCTCTTAAACGAGAGTCTAAATCATAATTATTTAGGACTGAGTTTGCATTGAATGAAATTATTGCTACTTCTGGTTCAGTCAACTTATACCGGAATACCGTTAATAGAAATCCATTGGTGTGTATGGAGTCATACAAATCGGGTATAAAATTAGTCAAATCTATTTGCCATAAGTCTGGTGTGTCTCTCAATATAACCAAATGCGATAAATTTATTGATAGGTTATCCAGGTTTGCATCCCATTCGGTGGCATTGCTCTCAAACTGTTTCATCACATTTCTAATTGACTTAACAATCAATTTGTAGTCAACTTCAGTACAGTTAACCCGGGATTGTCTAATATATTGGTCTACATCTGTGACCATCAAAGCTGTACTTAAATTAATTTCTGCAACTTTTATCTCATAAACCGATAACAGGTTTTCGCAAACAATGTCCACAAGAGTTCGTATCAATCGTTGATTACTTGAGACCTGATTAATAAGATCTCGACTCAAATCATAATCCAAATGATTATTATTTTGTTGATTGAATTTTATAAGCAATTCATCAAAAACGCGAAACATTACATGATTTTCATTGTTTCCGTTTCTGTACTCTTGTATCACATTCTCACTGAACGACTGGTAATTGAAATCGCATTTTATTTGTTTGAAACCCATTTGTTTCACTTTCGTTGCCATATATTTGCAAACCTATTATAATTAAATTATCTTAGAAAACGGTTTAACTATTTATATTAATTTTAATATACCTCCAAATAGTTACAAATAGATAACTTTAGACACTCATCGATAGCATTGATATCATCATTGGCTATGAATTCATACGAGTCGAGCACTACATCTGTGTCATCGGTAGGGCTGGCTATGGGTTGTACAGACATTCCCTCCACTTCCACTCCATATGATATCAAATGTTTAGTTTTATTGTTATAATTGAAAGGAATGTCAGCAGACATTAGCGCAAAACGGTAGACATTCCTATCAACCACTTTATCTACAATATTATCATCATTACCCTGATTATTGGCAAAAGCTATATCATTAGCAATTGGGTTGTGCCTAACTTTATTAAACAAAACCATTGGATCCACTCGGAGTCGTCTCATCATCACCGGCACCATTAGCTTACGATAATGGGCCGAAACTATCATCGACTGTAACAACCCGTCCAAAAATGTGACACAATTTCCGGTCCACTCGCATATGCCGTAAATCTCGTGGAAATCATTTGTCTCGACTTTACATAGCCGTTGAAACTCTGGTCCGTAATCGTAGCCTAAGATTCGCATCTTTTTGTAGATGTCATCCCTTCCGAGTGTATACTCGCATCCATTCACGTCTTGTCCATTACCACTATTTATCTTATACTGTGAGGTGAGTACCATTCCATCGCCTGGTGCTCTAACAGTACCGGACACACATACATTCCCATTGCTATCAATCACTACAAACTCATCTGAATAGACAAAATAATATTAAAATTATACACTTTTTGTATTGAAAACCTTTTTGGTAGACCTGTTGTTGGAAATAATTTGACTTTAATATGAGTTACTGATGTCTGCGATAGCAATATAAACGACTTGAAGTGAATGTTTTCAAAGATCACTGGCAACTGATACCATATACGGCCCCGACCTGCCGCCAGCATACGCCAGGCCAGCATCAGATACCCGGCCCCTGGGAATATAGCTCTACCATTGAGACTATGATCCAAATAAAAGGCGTCCTCTTTGGCGATGGGGTCGACGTATATATTCATATCCGAGGCATTGAATCGGTTGTAGTTTTCGGGATATAATTTATGCGAGTATTTGAAGCTATGATCCCATTTGATGAGTGAACCGATAGACTGTGTATTCCTGGCCACCGGCCACTCCACTCGTGGGTATAGTCTATCGATCGACAAATTGATACCCAATTCGTAAAGCTTTGCCAAACCCGATAAAAACAGATCCAGATTTGTATGGTTTGAGTCTTTTTTCAATAGCGATATAAATGTCGAGTTTTCCAGTGTTTCGGTCACCGATCGCACAAATATCGGGTGAGGACTCAGCTCTAGGACTATGGCATTGGATGGCAGTTGTTGTAGGCTATCGGTTGTAGTTTTCGGGATATAATTTATGCGAGTATTTGAAGCTATGATCCCATTTGATGAGTGATCCGATAGACTGTGTATTCCTGGCCACCGGCCACTCCACTCGTGGGTAGAGCTTATCGATTGACAAATTGATACCTAATTCGTAAAGCTTTGCCAAACCCGAGAAAAACAGATCCAGATTTGTATGGTTTGAGTCCTTTTTCAATAGCGATATAAATGTCGAGTTTTCCAGTGTTTCGGTCACCGATCGCACAAATATCGGGTGAGGACTCAGCTCTAGGACTATGGCATTGGATGGCAGTTGTTGTAGGCGTTCATAGAAGTGAACCTCATTTAGCATATTATACACAAAATACTCGGCCGATCCATACTTCAACATCTCATCACACGACTCAGTTAGTATGCAAGTGGACAGCCATTTGTCTGATCTAAGCTTAGGATTAGGGATATACCCTTTCCATACTTTTAAGTTTGAAGCAGTTATCGGTGCCATATATTGGGAATGGTATGGAGTGTTATCGCATTGTAATTGTCTGACAAATATTGACTTTTCTTGTAAATTATGTATCATTTCTTTCATTGCATTCATTGGACCTAAAAATATACTTCAATTGAATTCATAATTCTATTATTTTTCCTAAACTAATGAATACCTGTAACGACAACACTTTCCTTAGCGTTATTACAGGCAATGGATACTCCATTTGGACACCATTTGAGCGCCTCATCCCGGGACAGCCCCACGACTGCCATCAAACCCTTGGGGATATCATCGTTGCCTAATGTCGACGAACCTCTAAAATACGACATAAGCATCGCCTGTCTTGTGGACAGACACCCGTCAGCGTAAGCGCAGGCGATCTCACCAAACGAGTGGCCGATTATGCCGTCGGGTGTGATGTCGAGGGCTTTAATCACTTCAATGAGTGCTATCTGTAGAGCAGTTGTCG